AGAGAATAGGAATATCAATAGCCCGGGTTGACCGCCCAGTTATCAGGGTTAGATACTTTGATAGCTCAGCTGGACAGCTCAGATATCAAAGAGAAAGTTAGAAAATAGGTGTGAGAGATTGATACTAGGGACGGGCTGTAGACCACATGAGCAGTGAGGCAGTGAGGCAAATCCCATTTAGTGTTTTCATAGTTGCATTTGTTGTATTGTTTAGTATACTGGGTGATCGAGTGACAAATTCAAGTAATGCTCCTGGATGAAGATCATCGTGTGACTGCCAATTTTTTATGGCACCACTAACCTACCAATCATATAATAAGTGGATATAAATGTGTATTTTTATTTATTTCTTTATTTAAATAATAAAAGATAAAACATGTTTTACATTTATGTAAGATTCACACAAATGCTCTACTTTAAATATGATCAAAATTTTATAATGAAGTTATCAAAAAAAATCATAAGGTAGAAAGGGGTAATTTGACGAATCTGGATACCTCTTGGACTAGTGATCAGGATCGAATAACTTCTATGCCATTCGATTCGTCTCGATGAGATAAATCGAAGAGTACAAAATTCATCCGATTCTGATCACTGGTTCACAAGATATAGATTATTTTCCAAGTTTACACTTCGTCAAATTTCACCTCAAGGATTATTTTTTGTGCAGTTTATGATCGATGATATCTCATGAAATGGTATAAAAATTATTCGTTTTGATCACTGGATCACATGAGATATCATCAATTCGTCAAATTACCCTTACCTTTCTAAAATTTAAGCTTTTGATATTATGTATAACCCCATTTAATGTTATTTTAAACAAGGTGTTATATTATTAATTTTATATAAAAATAATTCTAAATTATGTATAAAGTTTAAAACAAAAAATAAAAAATTTTTTTAATATTAAAAAAGTTTTAATATTCGTTATTTCAACTTCGCCAAATTACCCATTCCACCCTACATAATAAACAAATGTGCAATTAAAAAGAAATGCTAATTTTTTCTAATCTAATAATTTATGTAATATTTTCTTTTTTGCATGTCAATTAAATCTTGAACTTATATAAATAATCATAATACGGTTTGTTTTCAGCGATAGCATCATAGACAATTTGTGGATATTCAATTTCTTGATCATATTTATTAGTAAAATTATTAAAGCCTGTACTATTTTCCGCATTACTAGCGGGATTAATTTATGTTAGTAATTAAACGAAATTGACAATTTAATTTATATTTTTAAAAAATAAATTATATTTACTGGACCATAAGTTTTGCAGCAATGGTGTTAGTTCCGCTCCACTCATTAACAGTTTTTGCCTCCCAATGAATCATTTCTTCTTTATATCCCTCTCCAATTAATTCGCAATATTTATTCAAAACTCTTTCTGGATCGTTAATCAAATCATCAGCATCCACAACAATAAGTTGTTTATTTAAATCTTTTAACAAATCGAAAATTTGTTTGGATTCTTTCAATCCTACTAGACTCTTATCGAAGTCTTGGAGTTGATATTCGGGACTTTTTTTAAATATGAAGTTAGCAGCTTTATATAAAGATCTTACCGACTTTACAGGATTACGGATTAAGAACGTGTGTGTCATCTCCAAAAATTGAGGATTTGTTAAAAAGGAAGTTTCTGATATAGCCCTTAGAAGAAAAACCGAATGTTCATGATAAAATACTCGTTTTGATTTATTTGAGGATTCATCATAATGGGTTTTCCAAACTTCGTCAAAGGTTGATAAAACTTTTGGCATGAATAAACTAGAATTTGAAGGTTTCGAAGGATCTGCAATACCATTTTTAACATCTTTTATATGTTGATCTAACATAAGATCAAGTAATGGTTCGCAAATAACATGAAATTCTTGAGAGCGCTGAAGGAATGGTCGCTGAAATGCGTGGGAAATAGATCTGGGATGAGCTTAATAATAATAATAATAAAATAAGACTTTCTTTTAGAAAAACTAGAGTAGAATATCATTAATAAAAGTCATACACAAAAAAAAAAAAAAAATGAATGAATGATTGGCATCTAAACTTTCACAACCCGTATCTTAGTGAATTTCCATTATCCAAGTGATAATAACGTATGGAATTAATACTTATTCAAAATTCATCAAACCGTGGGATGTGAGTAATTAAAGTTTAGTTTGTTTTTATTTAATCACTTATTTGATATTATTTTTATTCTTATTTACTCTGAAAAAAAATATTTGTAAATTATTACTTACACAATAGAACTATCGGCTTTCGTTCAGACATATTTGCAACTATATCAATATATCTATATGGTGAGCAGTGTTGATGATAATATACTGTGGTGATTTCAACATATGAACGAATATAATGGAAAATGAGTCAAAACAAATGAACCAAATTGTTGACAACTTTCCAAATGATTTGAAAAAATTTAAGGGTGGACCCCAAACAAAATTCGAAAAATTTATTATGTAAAATGCTTCTTTTTTTTTTGGCATCTTCGGCGTATAATAATATATCTGATATAGAAATGATCTATACTTATTCGAATTATTCGTACTACTTGGACTATTTTTCCAGAAGTGATTTCCCTCGCG